GAAAGGGTTTTGAAATCTGAATCTGAGTGAATTTATAAAGTGTTTGTAATTCTGTCAGAATTGGAAGGCTGAGGACTGTAAATTTTCACTTGTTAAATAGCTAGCTTGACCAATGGCAAATGAATAGGCTCAAAGGTTAAAGGCAATGGTTCACTGAACTCCATAGCAGACTGCATGAGGCATGTTTCCAGTGTTACTGAGCTGTTTAGCTGACCTTTTCGTCTTTTTTCCCCTCTTTTAGCAGGAGAGGGTGTTTTACGTTCATGCACAGTCATTGACTAGAGAGGCCCTACACACTTCATTCATCACGAAGTAGAAACGGAAAGGAATAGCACAACTTCCTTACCTGTTGCACATGTCAGGACACAGTTGTATGTGTGGAGAGATGTGCTGTTTTTTATGACTCTTAGTGGTAATGAAAACATTTTGTTCCATTAGTTCATGATGGAAATAGGAGCTCCTCTTAAAACAGTATGTATTTTTTAAATACAATGCATTTTAAAATATTATGTATTTCAGTATTATAACATCAAAATACCATGTAGCAATATTCTCACTGTTGAGTGTTCTGCTGGAAGATCATAAACACGTGACTGGCTTTGAATTTCTTAAGAGGAAGCTGTTCTTGGCTGGTAATGATGTCCAGTATCTGTCAAAAGGAACCACAACAGAGGCAACTTTTCCTCACCTACTTAGCCTGAGGACTTGGCAGGTCTCTTGTACTAAACAGGTTAAATCTGATCTGTATCTGACAGATCTACGATGAAAAGTTGAGGAAGTACTATTGCTAGTTCAGTGCAAGGCAATCTCTAGTAAGTCTGCCTGGAGTTGCAGCTCCAGCATGTTTCCAACTGCTGTTTAGCAGTGAGAGGTGGTTTCTTTCAAGTGTGGCATCTATCAGACCAAAGGGGGATACTCTAGACTTCTTTTTGGTGGTTTTTAAGATATGGCATCGTTAACATCAAAACTAGCGTTGTAGTTTGTGCACGCCTGTATGAAGCAATGTGTGAGACTCAGCAGATGCTGTCCATGCAAAAATGTGATTACTCATCAGAAAGTCACACAGCTGTTTCACACCAGATCTCCTTTGTCTGCCTGTGTTTTCTCTCAAAATCACACACAAGTTTAACCATTCCCTCAGACACTTATTTGCAACTCTCTGAACACATCAAACCATTGCAAAGGACAGCAGAACAGAGTGTAAGCATATCTTTCAGATTAGTGAAGGAGACTTTGGGGGAAAAATTATTATTTTCTTTAGATGTGCCACTGGAATCACGTGATACCAACATTCAGGACTTCAATTTGAATGCCTGTAGGACTGGGGACTGCTGAAAATGTAGGGTCTTGTTTAAATGGCACTTTTCACTGCCAAAGTGTTTGTGACCAAAGTTTTACTCGTGGAAAAATAAAAATGGCACTTTCCAGTAAGGGCATGTGGTTGAAATTTTGACAATAGATGTACATATTCAGAGGAGTTTGCTAAATCTGACTGGAGCAAAGGACCAGCATGTTTTCTTTTGTTAGTGACCCGCGGCTTGTTTGATCTAGTGAGAGTTTAGAGTAATCTGGATACTCTCAGAGTGAGGTTCAAACTGTATTATGGTAGGTACACAAAGATATAGGGATGTCTCTCTGTCTGTCTGTCTATCTATCTGTCTATCTATCTATCTGATAATAGGTGTAACTATACCTGATAGAAGAATTTTGCAGTAAGCGAGGCTGCAGAAGTGTGACAAGGAATTTGATACCAAATTTAGTGCTTAGCTAACAGCTTCTTGGCTTGTACTTATGGGAGAACTGAATCTCTATGTTGGTTCTGCAGGCTTGCAGTAATGAAGAATAATTTGCAGTTAATTCCAAAAGAAGCATTCTGTGCATGCATATGGCTTCGTCTCAGAGGAAGTGTGCTTATTCAAGATAGTATTTAAACATGTATTTAAGCAAAAGTTTAACTATCAGTGAAGTTATGGAGCCAAGAATATGCTTAATTCCCATCCCTACATCTAGAATATTAGTACTGAATAGTTATTGAAGGATACATCAAAAACTGAAATCTAAGTTCAGAGGCATAGCTTGAGTTAAATATAAAGGGGAAGAAGATTTTCAGTCCTACAGCTAACAATGCTGTGGAGTTCCCAGTTAAAGAAGAGGGCAAAAATCTGAAAGATTTAGAAAAAAAACAGTTGAAATATTTTTGTTGTTCATTTTTCTTTTGATTTTTTTTTTAAGCCTTTAGTTTCCTTTGAAAGAAAGCAATGTGAAATATGGTATGCTTAGGTATTTTTTTCTATTAAAAATGTTCCTTAAGCTTCGTAATGTTTCTTTAAAATGTGGTGCATAAATAATAAAATACATGATGACACAGTACAGAGATTATCTTGGCAAAGCCTGGCGTGACTGAATCACAGAGCTTGACACTTGTGAATAATGTGATCATTGCGAAAGTGTGCCAATGAAAGCTTCGTACCTCACCGGTACGTGTGTACAAGTTTGTTAGTGCATTCTGTTTCAGCACATTTTCTAATACTGGATACCATGGATAACTGAGGCTGTGGCTTTTTTGACATGGTGAATACTAAGTGAGAATAGTTTCAAGAAGGAAGGGTCTCACATCCTATTCCTTATCCCTACTGACTCTTGGACGCCTACTCCTTTCCTTTGCCTTGAACCAGTTTTGGTGCTCAACTTATCGCAAGGACAAACTAGCTCAATAAAATGAAAGATAAGTACCGTGGCAAGAATAAAGGAAAACATGACTTTTTTCTTCTTTGTTATTAAATTGAATCATCTTACCTTGATACCTTATGAACAGGACAGCCATCAGTGGCTGCAAGGAGTTGTGTGTACCAGGCCCTTTGCTGTCTGCTTTTGGGTGCTTACAGGTGCATGCAGCAGCTCAGGGGGGAAACAGCAGGGGAATGTAATGTGTTTCTTGTGTGTTTGCTGTTGACCGTATTGCAAAGTGTACCTTAAGAACCTTAGCCAAGGTGTATGACCAAACAAGCCTGTTACTTACCATGTTTGTGTTCACTGCAGTCATCATAAATGCCCAGTACCAAAAGGCGCACCCCGGGGTTAAGCTTGGCAGGGTGATCATGGCCAGCTGAAGTTTGTCCACAGCTTGTAGTCAATAGTGGAAGAGCATGAGGAGCATCCCTATGGAGTTCTAAAGGTCTTGAACTCCTGTTGAGTAGATGAAGATTTGACTTACCCACTTTTCAATTTAGTCCTCTTGATACAGTGCATAAAGCTCTGAGACACCATCGTGCTGTTTGCAAGCACAGATATGGGTGGGCTGATGTGAGCAGGGAGGTGGAGTTGTAGTCTTGGTAAAGGTCTCGCACTCCATCACATTGTTGGCAGCTCGTGTCATGCTGCCTGAAGAGGACACAATATCCCTCAGCACCATCACTCCAATTAGAACTCTGCGATCTCACACAGCTTATGTGGGATCTTGAAGTAGGAAAAGAAAATGAGGAGTGTGTTATATCATAATGCTGCAAGTGTTAGAAAGCAAGAGGAAGCCATGATCAGAGGGAGGGAGGAGCAATGGAGGGAAGAGCAGAGAAATTCCTCTTCCTTTTAGCAATGGTAAGATATTTATTCCAGTATCATCCACAGAGTAGCATGTAGGATTCCTTTCTCTCATATTCCTGTGTCAAGAATAGCTGAAGACGGGCCATTAATTTCAAAGAGAGTTTGTTTGGAGCGGGGTCTGTTCTCAGTGCAAGTAGAAGGATCATTTTTCTTAAAAAAAAAAAAAAAAAATTACTGTTATTGTGGATAGTGCAGCTGCTTAAAGATCCAAAGCATTATGAGATAATTGTGGTTTCCTATGCTCTTCCCTCTGTGGTGTTTGCAGTGTTTGCCTTAATGCTTTCTGTTACTAGAAAACAGTACATGTTTAAGAGCGCAAGAAACTGTTTATCCCTTGCAAGCATGTCAATTGCACGCGTGCTACACTGAGTGGCTCAGCTTGTGCCTACCCTCCACCGGCAGGCACGGGTAACCCGTTGAACCCCATTCGCAGTGGGGATCGGGGATTGCAATTCTTCCCCGTGAATGAGGAATTCCCAGTAAGTGCAGGTCATAAGCTCAGGTTGATTAAGTCTCTGCCCTTTGTACACACCCCAGGTAGGGGTTGGTCGCTTCTCCCAGGCAGCTATCAGTAAAACAGGAGGGCATGGTCTTAAGCTGTGCCAGGGGAGGTTTAAGTTGGATATTAGGAAGAAATTCTTTACAGAGAGGGTAATCAGGCATTGGAATGGGCTGCCCAGGGAAGTGGTGGATTCTCCATCCCTGGAGGTTTTTAAGACGAGACTGGATGTGGCACTTAGTGCCATGGTCCAGTAACCACAGCGGTGTTGGATCAAGGGTTGGACTTGATGATCTCGGCGGTCCCTTCCAACCCAGCTGATTCTATGATTGCTCATGCTGTCAGAGGAGAGAACTGTGTAGGTACTACAGTCTGTTGTTTATCAGAATCTTGTGATCCTGAAAAACACTCAGAAATCCTCTTGTGTAGAGATAGCCCTGTGACATTTAGTAATTTTGCACTTCAGAGCAATGGGAGTGGATCCCTACAGCACCTCTCTGCATGGCATTTTGTTTCAGCCAAAGGAAGGAAATGTGTAAGTTGTCTGGAAATTACTAGGGAAATAGAATTCCTATTTGCCTATGAAGAAAATGGTGGTTTCTTGTAAGGAACATCAAATTGTTCATGGAAGATGAACAAACGATGAATGAAACTCTTCAGAACAGTAGTTTCATTTTAGCTGGCTATATTTATCAACATCCTGTTGTTTAGTATTTCATCTTTTTAACAATATCCCTTTTCCTCCACTTCTTGCAAATATCTCTTTCAGTTTCTGCAGATAGTTCTGAGTGTTTAAATTGCCTGCATGCTATGCCTGGAGGATTCCAGTCCTGGGCTTTTCTCTGCCTTCCAGTAGCTGTAAAAATTCATTTCCCTTCACCCTTTCCTTCTCTCTTTGCAGGTTATCTTGACAAATCAGATTACCACATCGCTGAGCAATGGCCCTGAGATCCAGGCAGACCTGGTGTCTCCAGCTGATGATTTGTCCCTGTCTGAAGGTAAGAGATCCCTCTATCAGAACTGAAACTCTACACTGACACAAATCCACACTGTAATTTGCAGCCTTCTGTTGATATACAGGGGTCTGAGAGAGTTGAGTTAGCAACTCTTGCCTAAAAGAGTCTGGAAACAAAATTATTTTTCAGTTTCTCTGAAAATCCATTTATAAATAAAAAGCAAGTATGTGGACTAACTGGAAGGATCTGACACTTTCTGGAGCCTAAGAATGAATTTTTGAGCCATGTCAGTTCCTCAGTGTTGTACTGTCTTGCACATGCGTTTAGAGTATTATTTTCTCAGTCTTCTGAACCTGCTGCAAGAGTAGATACACAGGCTAGGCTGCAAATTTCACCTTCTCTAATGATTATTAGTGATTCCAAAGAGAACCAACTGGTCAGAAAAGAAGGAAAGCAAATACTCGATCCTGTCTCTTGAATTATGCTTGTCTGGTTTTCAAGTACAGTGCCTCAGACTGCATCTCTATGTTGTGTGAATGTAATAGGAGGGTTTTTGTGATGCCATATATTATTTTACATCTTCAAGTTTGTTTTTTCTGCACAGAATTAGAGGCAGGCATGCTCTTTTTGGGTACTAGTGAGGACTCAGTGTGCTAGGAAGAAAAGTTAATTCTAAATCAAGATTTGCAAAGTAATATAATAAGTTCAGCTTTCCCCACTTGCAAAGAATAGTCAGAGTACCCTCAGTCAGGGACAGATGCAAAAAGTTTGTTATTTAGAGTTCAGTTCATGCATAGACCCAAAAGTATGATGTAAAGCAATGTTTCTCTTTCCTGCAAAGACGTGATAATTGCATGTGGACTTTCCACTTTGTATAACGTGTATTTCTACTTTCTCTCCTTGCTGCACTTGCTGATGATTCTGATCAGCTTATCTGTGTTCTAGTTGATCACAAGCCCTCTTAAGCTTCTCTGACTTAACACAAGTACAGCCTGGTGGCAAAAACAACAACCAAAAAAAGTGGTTAAAACTGACATTACTTCTGCAACTCATTTCAGTGGACAAGAGAAAGAGGTTGAGGATAGGTTAAACAGAGTGTCAAAGAGTAGCAAGTAACTTCAGTGCAATGCCTTAACACTGATTGCTGGGTTTACTTCATAATTTTGTCAATAGGAGCTTGGTAAAGCGCGGCTCATTAAATCATTTTGAAATTGCGCTTGTAGCTGTGGTTGGCTCTGTCCCTTGACAAAGTATCTCTGAAGTTCATTGCTTGGATACTGCTCCTTACCTCTGTCAGAAAGAGTTGAAATTCGGTAACTAGATTTGGAAGAGGAAGGCATAATTTTTCACCTTTATGATTTCTTGGCATGAAATTGTGTATCATCTCATTAAATGCTCTTGATCACAGTACTTGTGGTTTTCCTTGTCTTTTAGAATTGCTATGTATGAACTTTCTCTGAAAAGAAAGGCATAGCTGACTCTGAAGTTGAAGTAATAACAAAATATGTTCTCAATAAAACATATTTTCGTCCCGTGGTTAAAATATTTGAAGATACTTTAGAAAAAAGCATGGACAAGTTGCAGTCTTTCTAAATTTCCCAGCAAATATGAAAGATTCTTAGTCCTGAAATCAGGACTATGCAAGAGACGGTATAAAGATTTTTGTAGCAGTTACAGGTTATTAATGAAGCTATCATGTCTTTAGTTGCTATCATGTTTTAGTTGCCTAAACTACCACCATTATTTTTCACCTTTTAACCCGAGAATGAGTTAAAATGTATTGGTGCTGTGTGTGTGTTGTATTCTTTTGTTGCTCTCATTCCTTGTTTTTAATTAAGGATCTGAAGTGGTAAAATGAGCCAGCATCACAGTTGCTGAAAATGGAAATGTTTGTTTTGCCACAGGACAAGAACAGTACAGTCAGTAGCAGTGCAGGCTCCTTCAATAATTCAAGTTTTATGAAGGGATAAAGGGCTGATAAACTTCTTTCCTTCTCTTCCTTCCTTCTTCTGTTGACTAACATTAACATGGCATTTACATGCTGTGTTGTGTAATGGAAGAACACAGTGCATCTTCACACTACATAGTGTTCTCCCTGTGTCTTTCTTATTCATAAAATGGCTACTTCTGGATTTCCATTTTTCATCACTTTTAACACATGCTGTCTACCTGTGAGAAAATGTGGAATTTCAGGCCCATTCAGCATTTGATTTCTGTGTTTATCTTGGTATCAAAAGCTACAAGTGTGGACAGTGTGTTTTAGTGGATTTTTTTAACATTGAGGTGTTGACCTGTCCTGAGAAAGTTCCCCCTTTTAATGTGTTTCTTGTTAGCTATTGAACAACCTGAAAGTAGCAATACTTTAATCTTCTGATAATTTTTTTTATACTTTCAGAATCCTAAATTAAGTAGTCTTCAAGGGTTAGTGTGATATTCATAATACTTACTACTGTTTTGCAACTGTAGAATTTGGAGGAAAGAGTAGTTAGGTGAGTAGCCAAAGTGCACAAAGAGGATATGTTGCAGGGTCAGGGATAAGAGGCCAGATTTGTGACTGAGTTCTTACGTCATTGTTCCTTGTCACTCATCACCAACTAAAGCTGAATTTGAACCAGTGACCTAGATGTGAAAGGACCCATAACACATTATTAGTCCTGTAAGCAACTCAGACTACTTGGTTTGTGTATGTCTGATAATGTTGTTTTAATCCTATCTGAAATCAGAGTCCAGTCACTGTAAATGGTTTGCTAAAAGGGTAATCTTTCTTAGGGAGAGGCAGAAATGAAAATTTCAAACTGAATGTGCTATTAGAATGAAGTGGAATGTTACAGTGTCTTTTGGTTTTGCTTCTGATTGTGCTTGAGAAGAGAATTGCTTGGGTTATGTGTTAGATTAGTCAAGAAACCAAGGAAGCTGTTCATCTGATGTGTGACAGAAAGTTAATCTGATGAACAAGCTGAAAGGACATTGTCAAGCTGTTTCAGGCTCAAAGGTTGTCTTCTGTAGAATTGTAATCTAGTGCATGAGAACTTGTGTCCTAAAAATATGTTAGGTTTTTATGAGAACATTAACGGCTTTGTAAAAGCAGTGCTGGCTGTAAAATCCCACCGCTTACGTACCAGTGTAAGAATTCATGAACTGTTTGTTGGTAATTTTTGTAGGAAATGGTTATGTCCAGCTAAATTCCCAGATCTGTGCATACTTCTGCTTCAAGACAGATAAAAAAATGCTTAGTTTGTTACAAATTAAAGTGATGAATAAAACACAAAAGTTTCTCTACCCATGGTCTGAGCTCTGGCATTCATTTGGCCTTTACATACTTGCCAGATTATCATCTGAAGGAGTTAAGACTAATAGTCCAGCTCCAAAATTCTCAGAGATGTAAGGCTGTCGCTTCTTCCCTGGGAAGCAAACTCAGTTTCTACTTGTTACTGCACCATTCTTACATAGCCATCTCTCAAACCATGTCATCAAAGGAGATAGACTGGAGGATGATTGTGAACACTGCTCTTTCACTTTCACTCTTGCTTTATGAAATAGTCTCTGTTTAGCTCTTCTGGTCAGAGACAATTTCCAGTTTGAGAAACCTTAAAGTTGTTTTAGATTGCAGGGGTGGTCAGACAAGCCCAGGACTATCACAAGAACTAATGCTTTATTACTTAGACATAAAAAGTAGCTCTTACCCGATTAAAATTTTTTTTTAATAATTAAAAAAAATAGATTTAAGATGCATTAGGCTAAGTGAACACTAGAAAGGGAATGTAAACGTACAGAGCAAACTATTTTGCATGACTGTTAATGGATATTTTTAAACAAGTTGTCTGTGGCTGTGACTCTACTGTTTTTGTTATTTTCACATGAATAAATTTTACCTAATGTAAAAAGTCTTTAGAAATTAATTCTAAGCCTGTGTGTTAGAGTGCTAACTGGACAGGGAAATTTGTGTGTTTCATTTGTGTGCTGCAAAGAGATAAGACAGTATGACCTACTTGAGGTTCCTTCTAGTCCACCAGTGCCTGTCTTATTAATATATCTGCCAGCTGCAAGCTCTAACTTCCTCTCACAGACATAAAAACCAAACTCAGTCTTTCTTGGAAAAAGCTCAGGAGTGTGTTGGTATGAACAAGAACAGTATCCCCCTCACAGCATGTACAGAGTGTCAAGCAAAAAAATGAATGCTGTCTTGGGCTTCTTCAGTCTCAGCTAGTACTTGCAGATATTTGTTTGAAAAAGTCAGAATTATTTTGTGTTTAAAATTGTCTGTAAACTTGTGCTAGCTCTGGGGAAGCCAGTGTTCAGTCTTCTGCCATTTGTGCTCATCAAGCAGTTTGTCATAGCATTGTATATTTTTAGTGCACAGTGTGAGCAATGAGTTTAGTCTGACCTTTTCAACTTTGTTGCTCTGATCTTGAATTCTTTTAAGCTGTTGAGCAGAAGTAGGCTTTCGTGTTGTGGAGACTGGAGAAAACTAAGCTGCCATAATATCTCCCACCCACAGGATTTTCCTACTTTAGCTTAGGAGCAGAAGATCTGAAGCTGGAATCTTTGGCTTCTCTTCCTTGCTTTGCCCTTGATTTCTAGTCATATTGCGATTAAATTGTTTTATTCTTCAAGCCTCAGTTTACCATTTTTTAAAATTTGGGGTTATATTTTTATTCTTCAGCTTTTTTTTGCTTTCTTAATATTTCAGGATATTCCTGGGGGAAAATAATGAGTTGACCTCTTCACCTCAGAGTAAGATCAGTTCTGTAGTTTATTACTTCTCTCTCTTCAAATCTTCTTCTTTCAGTCCTGGTGCCAAATGGAGTGAAAACACTGAAGGAATTATCAAGTGAACTGAGGAGCCCCCAGAGATCAGAGGCTGTTGGTTGGTTTTGGTTTGTTTATTTATTGATTTATGTGTGCACTTAATGCTTAGGGTTGGATCTGCAGGTGACTTAATTAAAATAAAAAAGAATATCCTGTGAGAACATAAACTTACCTGTTTTGCAGGAACTGTGAGCTTACAGATCAAGCAGCTGTTAAAAAAGTTTCTAAAACACTTCTTCCTTGTAGTTTTAAAGCTAATGCAGAATAATGCATGTCCTAGTGAAGTGCTCCAGCATGATATGAATTTAAATGCTGTGGAAAGTATCATAACACTTTGGCATGTTTTAGGGCTTTAGTGTTTTAGCTGAATGCTCTGTAAACTGATTGCAGCCTGGTTTACACAATTTTGCTTGAAAGAGAAAATAGTTTGTCTTGGATCATTGAAGCAGTATTGTTAGTTAATTATAATACATTTTTAATAGGACAATTCATAAATTAATATCCTATCATTTTAATATGAATCCACTCTGACTTTCTGAGACCCAAGTATTTGGAAATACCTACTAAAACCCTTTAATTTTGTTACCATTATATAATCTCTGTTGAGGTCACTGGGCATGTAGAAACTCAAGAACCGTGTGGCATGGTATATGTAAAGTCTTTTGACTGTGACCCCTCATGTGGATCCTGTGAAGCTTAATGAATTTTAAATATGCAAAAGGCAATGAGTACAAATAACACTAATGGTATTGCCAGATGATTTGGAAGATGAATTCCAACAATTACACCGTGTCTGTGCATACTAAAGGGTAAATTTCCCAACTGAGACTAGTGTGCAGGTGTGAATCCTAAAGGCTAAAGCACATGCCTGAAAAGGTAAAGAGGGGACCTTATCAATATGTTTAAGTATCTGAAGGGAGGGTGTCAAGAGGATAGAGTCAGGCTCTTCTTTGTGGTGCCAAGCAATAGGACAAGAGGCAACAGGCAGAAACTGATGCACAGGAAGTTCCATCTGAATATGCAGAAGAACTTCTTTACTGTGCAGGTGACTGTGCATTGGAACAGGTTGCCCAGAGAGATTGTGGAGTCTCTCTCACAGGAGATATTCAAGAGCTGTCTGGATGCAATCCTGTGCAATGTGCTCTAGGATGACTCTGCTTGAGCAGGGAGGTTGGACCAGATGACCCATTGTAGTTCCTTCCAGCCTTGCCTGTTCAGTGATTCTCTAATGGAGTTCTCTTCTTGGTTTATGGCTTATGAAGGTAGGGAAGGGCTACAATATAGCATATGCCTTCTACAGTTATAATGATACACGGAAGTGTAGTGAGATTTGCCTCTGTGTTTGCTTTGATATTAATTACTACTTCTCACCTGATGGTTTGGTTACCACTTAGGCACAATGCCAGCTACCCTCCTGTGATGGGACAGAACAGCTCCATGAGCCACAGGATTTTGCCTCCAAGTCTGAGCCTTGGGCTTTGTGACTTTAGTGTCAGAGTTGATAGAATTATTTAACTCACTGGTTCTCGTTCACGTGAGCTCAATAATGGAACAGCTGGAGTTGTTTCTTTCTAATCCTTTATTTTGGTGCTGGACTTCATGTCTCAGCTGTCTTTTAAGAAATTGTTCCAGCATAGACCCTGTAACCCACTTCACCAGCCAACAGTGCTGTGGGAAGCCTTTTATTCCTTCAGTCTGTTCTGTCTTTGAGTTACTTCTCCAGCTTCAGACCTTTCATGAAGAAGATTATTAGCCCCACATACTCTTCAAAGTGAGAAAGGAGCTTATCTTCCTTCACCTTCTAGAAGTCAACACAGTCCATCTACTTCAGGACAGGTAAACAGTGGGCACTGAAAAAAAGGGGTGACCTTGATAAAATTCATTAATACATGTGGGAGGGAAAAATGCGCCTCCTCAAAATACAATTTGATTCTTGTGCTTCCACTGTGTCTGTGTTTCTTGTAACTCTGTGCTCTTAACAGTAGTAGAGTCTGCCCCCCAGTGCTTCAGTGTAAAGAAAAAAACCTTTCTGGTTGTTGAGAATGCCACAAGGAAGTGCACCATCGTTACAGGGCCTGGAACAAATGATATTAACCATTAGGGGAAATGATACTGTGATTGTTTCTGCACAAGGCAGGGTTGCGGTGGTATATGGAGCAGTTAGATTTCACAACAACAGTGGTCATGTTAGCCTGTACTAATTTTGATGCTATATTTCACTAAGTGGGAAGTAACGACATAATAACATCTAGCCAAATTTTAACGGCTTTTTAATCAAAAGATAAGTCTCTCAGTAAAACATTGTTACAGAGACTGTATGTGTCTATGGAAATGTCGAGCTGAATGACATGCATAATCACTTGATATAGACTATGGAAAGGTTGAAAACTGTCAGCAGGAACACTCAAAGACCTCTATATATCAGTTTAAGAGAATCTCCATTCATCATTTCCTAATTGCTATGATGAGAGAATACAAAGTTTTACTGCTTTGTTGTGGTTTCTTTCTGAAGACGTGATATGACTTACAATCATTAATCAACAATTTGTAATCCAGAAAGCCTTCAGGTACATTTGCTGGGAATCACTCATCTATGTAATTAGAAGCACGATAACAGAAGTGATTACAGTCATAGCTGAGTGGTTAGGAGTTACCACCTCTCAGCTGCTAAGTAACTTACCTCGGTTGAAAAGAAGTGCACTGAGTACGTGTTACACCTTCCAATGCAAAGTAGAATGGGTTTGCATGAATCCTACTGCACACACCAGTTTATTCCTGTGTTCCTGTAACTGCAGTAAGCTTGAGAGCATGTGTGTGTCAGTCAGTGAGTTTCAGTGGATGGCATATATCTGTAAAGCATTGTAGCAAGATTGCAGTTGGTCATTTCCTTATGCCCTAAAAATGTTTAAAAATAAGATTAACTCATTCTACAGTGTGGGTGAATAATGAACTTTTTCTGTGGTCCTGCAAATCAGTGGTTCAATTCAGAAAAATGAGACATGGTTTGGCTCTAAATTCCTTCTGCAGTCCTACATTGCACCTCAGTGTTGGTGGAACTGCTATAAACTAATTTATCTTTCAAATTACATTGTAAAAAATGAATTCAAGGGTAGGAAAGGGCTAAGCAGCGCTTGTCCCTGTGCACAATGACCAATTAAATTCTGTCTTAACTCACTGTGGATTGTCCTTAAATCTGTACAGAGGTTGAGGAAAAAATATTAAATTAATATTTATCATTGAGTAGCATTTAGTCCCATTTCTTCTGGAGTTTTATAGTACCAGCAATGGATCTTTCTTCTCATAGAACTGGGAAGGGATCAGAAGGATTTTGATTTATGGGAAAAGATAACTATGGGAATCATATTTGTCTTGGGGCATTACATGAAGCATATGGCTCACCTGCAGAACTTGAACCAGTTAGAAGTGACCCTAGGTGCAGGTGTTATGCCAAAAGGGAAGGCGAGGGTGAAGGGACAGAGGATACTTTTAGAGTCAGTTGCCTGTGTTCGAGTTGCAGTTCCAGCTGGATTTCCTCTGGGTTTACTGCAGGATGTTTGAAAAACTGGCTCCTTGTTAATCTCAGGCAGCTTCTGTGATTGATGATTCCCCTTAATCGTAAAAAGAGCACATGGGTGTTTCTGCTTAATTTGTGTCTATTTCCTGCTTTATTATTGTAATAATGATTTATTGTCTTAAATTATGGAAGTTTTATAACCTCTTAGCCTTTTTTGGAGGTTGAAGCTGGGCGCTCTGGCATGTGAATGAACTTCTTCCCAGTGGCAGTCTACTCCTAAAATGTTACATTCAAACCCAAACATAACATGATAATAAAAGACAGTATTAGTTGGTGCATTACCTCTTAATTTAATTAAAATAGGGAGCCTTGAGTATGAGCAGATTTTGCATGCTTCACAGAGACAAAATTAATCTAATCTGGATTTTGCTAGTCTTCTCATAATATCAGTTATACTAAAAAATAAAATTAAGAAATATTTGGAGAAAAGCAACCCAAGTGGTCACAGTGCAGTACAGAAAGATGGGTGAAGAAATGGTAGAAAGAGGAAATGCCTGGAGCTTAACTAAAGGAAGGCTATGTTTACATTAATTTCTGCTCTCCTAAAATGTCCCGCTGTTGCTCCAGTCTTCTAGGCAAGCCACAGTCTACAGAAGATTCCTGCATGAGCTGGTGCTTAACAACTGCCAGAAAGGGTAAAAAAGACAATGGCTCAAGTATGAATAGCTGCACTATTAACAATGGAAAATTTGTCAGGAAAAGGCAAAACAGATGCTACTGCTGGGTAAGCAACCATGATTCTTTGGGAGTAATTTGAGCCACTCTGATACCTGGCAGGGGAGTTGTTGTTTCAGGATGGCACATGGATATGTAAGGCAGTAGTTTGGGCATGTTTTAGCTGAATATCCGGAAGTTGTTTCTGAGCGTGAAATCTGTTAGACCAGCTGTTCCCAAATGGTTTGTGTTTGTGCCCCTGTTTCTGGTGGTGAACTCACCCCAGCCAAGCTTGCGACCCCAAATACTAACATAAACAATCACATCTCTGTCAGTCTTGTGACCCCACTCTGTGTGGCTGTGACCCTGCTGGAGGTTACAACCCCTGGTTTGGAAATTGTTGGGATAGACTGTCAAATAGTCCTGCTGGGGGAGCACTGATATGCCTCATCCAGGCCAGGATCATCACAACAAATGCCTTCAGATCTCACAGTAATTTGTAGGTCCCTGCCACTAGTTCGAGACTGCAGCTTATTAGAGCTGACATGTCACTTTGGTACATCAGGAACATCTTGGAGATCAAAAGGTCATAGTCCTCCCACGCTGCCGCAGTCTTTCTTCATGGACGTGCCTCTTCGTCTTGCTTCTCCGTCAGCTGGCTGGCAGCGAGCCCCGGCGCCTTCATGGCGTGGCTGATTCGGCCACAACTGCTGGATGTGTACCAGCTGCAACTTCTGCCCCAAGCCAGCCTTTTCAAAATGGTTCTCCCTGAATACTCCTTGCCTTAATGAAGGGATTGATGTCTATCTCTCTCTGCTGAAATAATTAAAAGCTGTATAGGGAACTGCTAGTGGAGGTGGGCTGAGCCTTCCTCTATATTTTGTAAAACTAATCCTGTTATTCATATACATGTACATATGAGCACAGCCATACAGATGTGGGATGCTGATGGAGAAATAAACAGAAGGTGGCCTTGTGTGATTGCTGGTGTAGTCTGCAAGACTAGGGTCTTTGATAAGCCATGCAAACAGTCTCCTTAACATAAAATGCTAAGTTACAGATGTCCTAATTAGAGATCTGATTCTTAAGCTTTGTTCTTTTTCAATTTTAAATGGATTTTGTGAACAAAAATGAAAATAGATTTCAAATTTGCTTTTTTGAAAGCATTTGTTACCATAATTTAAAGTAGTAACATTTAAATAGCTAACTGATAATTCAAGGCCATTGACTTCATAGTTTACAGTCATGGATATTTGACAGTGGCACCGTTACGTAAATCCAACAAGGGGAGGAGCCTGCAACAAATAATTTATTTGAGGCACATTTTTGTCAATAGATCCTGGAAATTGCCAATGATGACAGGAAGGAAAGAGGATGAAAAATATCATTTAGATAAAAACCTACATTGCATAAAATTAGCCCAGAATTCAGTCAGCGTAAGTCTTGTGTCAGAGCTCTGTGTGGAGTGCTTTGTTTAAGGATGTTGCTGGACTGGTTTTCTGTTAGGCAGGTGCATAGAAAGCATTATACTAAATATGAGAACGGCAAAGTCAAGTTGTGGAGTGTGTAAGCCACTCAAGAAAATAGAAAATCTTATATTACAGGCTGGTTACTGCACATGCCACTCCCAAATGAAAAAATTGTTTGAAACAGCGTCTGTAACTTGATTGTCCCTTAAGCACTAATTACATGTCAGAAAATGGAGTCTCCTTCATCTGTCCAGGTTGGATTTGGTGCACAAAGAAACATATCCAATTCATAGTACCTCTTAGGTAATCAGATTAATATTTCCTGAACTGAATTTACCCTTTTGATACTGAGTCTTTCATATGCCATGTTTCACATATCACGTTCTGTTGAAGCTCTGCGGCTTTTCAGTAATTTCCTTGAAATCTATATGTGGTATGTCTGCCCTGTTTTGAACTGTTCTTGGGACATGCATCAATTAAATATGTTTCTGGCACTCTCTTAATGGCATAGTTTCCCTGGGGTCAAAAAGTGCTCCAAAAACTGAGATAATTTGTTTAATTTAAAAGCAAAAGGGTATGGAACTACAATTTCAGGCTTCAACATCTATGTTCCTGTAGCTTTGAAGGACTGGGGAAAAAATCTTGATGTCTTACACACAAAATAAATAAATTCCTGAGTTCTTAAATATCTGATTTCATTCAGATTTTTGCTTCCCTTGCTTATCTTTTAATTTTCATTCCATTTTTTAAATGGTAGATTTTCAACTTGTCAAATTTCATTGTTTGTTGGTTTTGCTTAGCAAAACAGAAGGCTGGATTTTGTTATCTGGGTCTAAGGAAGAACTGTAAGTGATGAAGGATGGTTCTTAATTAAAATTAATGACAACCAATCTGAATACAGAATTCTGTTTTAAGTCATAGAATCATAGAATCATAGAATCGATTGGGTTGGAAAAGACCTCCAAGATCATCGAGTCCAACCCTTGGTCCAAATCCAGTCCATTTACTAGATCATGGCACTCAGTGCCACGTCCAATCTGCGTTTAAAAATCTCCAGGGATGGTGAATCCACCACCTCCCTGGGCAGCCCAAAAGTCGTTGAGGCTTTTGGCTCTAGGACATTCTGGGAATGTATACTGCATAGGAGTTCCTATATTTTTTCAAGTACACTGAAAGTAGAGGTACATAAATTACCATGTTCTACCAGATCGCTCCAGTAAGAGTCATTCTGTGCCTCAGATATCTTTTAGCCTGCATCTGCAGTGGTGTTTCCATCGAGATTTTTGAAGCAAGTCCTCAGTGATCTTTGCTTGCTGCATGTTTGTTCATTTTGTGGGATGGTTTTGATGTGCACCAACTAGAGAACTTTTATAGGAAATTAAACAAGATCCGGTAGTGCTCAAAGCCATCGTGAAGGCAGAAGAATCTAAGCTAACGGCTGGTCATCAAGCCACAGTCAGAGCAGGGATGTTCTCACCAGAGCAAGTGAGTTTGGAACAGAACAATGATGCACTTACAGGGTAGCTGTAGGGGGATCAACACCAACTCTTTCGGCCATCTGACACTGTTGTGCCAAATTATTCACTATTGGGGACTTGCTTCTTAAATAAAAATATAGAATGTTTTCTCTTGTGTGTTTTATGTAAGTCAGGCAATACAGACCACTTCCAGAGATCAGTAGCAGGGGTTACTAATAAGCCGTAATGCCCATTGGTGACTTGTGGTTACTGAGCTCAGGTAATGCTTGATTACAAGAAACAAGAGTATGCGTTTCAGCAGGGTAACAGCTCAAATCCTTGCTGGTAGGATTTGACAAGCTCGTCTGTGCTGAAGCCTGAGCTGCTGTGTCTTTTATTTACTGTTGTTTATGCTATGAAATATGACATTTTGCCTGCCCTTGGCCTGTAGTCACATCTCAGCTGCAATAAGCGTATGCCCCAATACCAAGTTCCTGGATCTGGTCATCCTCAGCATCTGCTGATGAATAATCTTTCATAAGTCTCACCCACCTCCCTTTTTCCTTGCTATTTCCTCTGTTTTAATTTCAAACTGATAATGTTGATGTTCCATTTTAAGACTTGAAACGATGGCTGTTATGTTTGAGAGTTATGTTACCCACTGAAAACTGGTACCCGCTGAAGGACAAGTGACTAAGAAGATGGGCCTTTTAAGCTTTAGAAGTCTGTAAATCTTTTCTTGTTATTGTTCGGTAGGAATGAAGTTTAGAATAAACTTTAGGGCTTTCAAGCTAATATAGTGCCTTGTCAGTGACCAAGTCTGAATCTCAAGGGGAAGAGTTCACGGTGGTTCAGGTTAAATGCCAAAAACCTCATGTTCCTTGGAGCTTTTAGTTTGTTCTGTTGACTGTTCACCAGAATCCTGCAAACTAGCAAAGACTGGTCACATTATTTTCCTCCAGGTTAGTATGAGGTAACTCCAAACAGCATGGGATCAACCTGTCAAGTCCTTAATGGCCCTAGAGTTTACTGTCATGGCTTACAGTCAAAACCTGCCCAGTTCTTCTTTTCCTGAGGGTGCATCTGCTTCTTAGTCACCACTGTGATGGTCATGTGAGCTAGCATGAAATGAGCTGTTGAGATCCAGAGGGTTCCAGCAGCAGATGAGTCACAGAGGCAGAGGTCAGTGCAGGCTCATCTTTCTAGTATTTACCACGCACAGTGTAAATATATCCTGAGATGAACCTGCCTTCTGTTAAAATGAAACATCTTTTGTCCAGATGAGAAGATCCTATGTGTGAGAAGAGGCTCTGTCACCTTAATACCATTCTAACAGAGTAAAGGACTTTGAAAACTTATTTTAGTGAGCTGTGGATTTCCCTTAAGTAGAGATACCTTGTTTTCCTCACTTGTTTTAAGAAGATATTTGACTGCAGCAGGCTGAATAGTAATTTTGAGCAAGTTGAAGTCACATGGAATAGGGTAGGGTAGCTCTGCCCATGCAATATAGATCAATTTTGAGTTTATTATAGCTTCAACCCAGGATTTGGTGATTGTTTTTTCTAAGATGGTAGAAAGTCACCTACACTTTGATGTAGTGCAGCTTTTAATCAAATGCATTTTAAACAAATAAATAAATGATTAAACCTTGCTGTGTCTGTAAAACACTAGATTTTCAGCAGACTTCAACATTTTAAAGTACTTATTTTGATTGTGCTGAAAATTTTTGTGACAACTATGGCTTCCATGAAAAGAAAAAAGTGTTTTATCAGAAGTAATATGTTCTGTGGGGATATGTTTTTGCTGGTAAAATAAAAATCTTGAAAACAATAAAGGAGACAAGGCAGAGGTTTTTGATCAGAACTAGAGACATGCTACACAAAGACATCTGCTTATTGTCTGGATGTTTCTTTTTTTCCTCTCTCTCATAATCATAATTCTTGCACCCTCCCAACCAAAAAATGTTGTTTCACAAGGTTTTACCTTTGCTAAACCAGTGAAGAATAAAACAGAAATAAAACTGTTTACTAGTTGACCCTGGTTCTTTGTTCCATATGAAATTATGTGGTGCTTGTCTTGCATTTTGAATAGGTAGCTGTGGTATTGGCATGCCGTATTCTAATCACTCTGATAAACAATTCCTTGCTAGTGGTTGCCTTGCATACAGTGGTCAGCAATTCCTACACTCAATGATGCCATTGCAAATGTTTGAGATTGCTGCCCAGTTTCAGCAGTTTAATTTTTAATGATGTGTTATTGCTTCAGAATTTAATAGCTGTTTCTGGTTATGATGAAGTTGGTTTAAACCTGCAAACTTTTTAAAACTCCATTTGTCGCTTCCTCCTTGCAGTGTGGTTTCCTCCTTTCCTACCTTCAAAACATTGTGGTCCAGGGTGTTGGGTGAGGTGACATGTCCTATTTTACACTCAATTGGAAAAGACTGCGTCATGGGCACTTGAAGCTCCGTGGGGTTTTCTTAGTTGAGATGCTCAGATGTGGCTTCCTGTCATCACCTGATTACTTTGAATGCTAAAATGATCTTGTTACCTTTGGTATTATTGTCTTAAACTTAAGAAGAGAACAGGCATAGGTTTTAATGTTACCCCTGTGTACTGCCTGTTGTGCAGTGAGCACAGTGATGATCAAAACATTACACAGCATACCCTCATAGTAAACCTCAGAAGAAAGCCTCTTGTTTGTCTCATGGGCTGCTTCTTCTGCCTTTCCAGTCTTCTCTCCATCTCTATGGACATGATTCCATATTGATTCAATTAGCAAGGCAATCATACTCTTGTTGACACACAGGTCTTTCAAAGATTAAATCAAGACATCAAGACCTAGTTATACCAATCCATGTCAGTAAAAAGGAGCTTTGTGGAATCATGTGATGCCCTGACTGGTGGTGGTCAGTATAAACTTTTCAGAGCAGAGACTTGTGCCTTCAGTGTCTGAGCATCCTGTTTCTATTACCTAAAAAACCAAATGGTGATAATTTCTTTTGTCCATTTTTATCTTTGTCTCACCTGACCATGTAGTAGCAACAGAGTTGATATTAATAGAGTATCCTTCCTCTTCCCTGTTTCCAACGACATTAGACATGTCTTGTGCTTGCAGGTTCTGCAATCGAAATTGTCAAAACAAATAGACCAGGAAACAAAACTTTGGATGTTTTTCCAAATCTCTTAATTCACCAGCCCCTAAAAATGGCCCTGCCATACTTTCCTGCCATTTCCCAATTCCTTGCAAAGGAAAACATTAAAACAGCCATATAGTAGATGTGTTCAGTTGGGGGGCTCACAGACAGCTTCTTATCTGATGGAACTACAAAGTTCAACATACAAAATAGTGTCATTCATTGTTTATCCTCAGAATTTTAGCAGAAATGTGTTAAACAGTGCTCAGCAGGATCGCTGTAGCCTACCTGTTTGAAAGCAGCTATTGATTTGGGGTACTCAGGTTCTGGAGTATATGTTAAAATGGCTTGAAGGGCATAAAGGTTTTCTGATTTGTTTCAATTTTGGGTTGTTGTTTTATGTTATAAATCAAGACTTAAAGAATCAGACCCTTCACTTTAGGCTTCTGGATAAATTGAAGTATGAAAAAATGTTTTCCTGTACATTTTTTCTTACTTTTAAAAGAACTGTACTTTCTTCCCTTATCTTCCCTTTTTCTTTCTATGATAGTCCTTAGTAACACTTTGAGGTACTTCTATGTTTTCTTCTGCATTTTTCTGACTGCCTCTTTCTTTCTTTCTTTCCATCTACAGTCTGAACACTACAGGTTGCCCAAAGCAGTTGTCCTGTCTATATCATGAATGGTTTTCAAAATCTGAATGTCCATCTTTGGGCAGGAGGTAGGGCAAGAGACCTCCTAAGGTCCCTTCCAGCTGGAAATGTTCTAGGAGCCTATTTTTTGTTCTAGGAGCTACATTTTTGTCTGTTCTGTACTTTTCTTTATTACTGTCATTTTCTATATATACTCTTCTTTGTTATGCTACATTTGTTATACCTCTTTATTAATTTATACACAGGGTTACACATTTTGATGAATCTCTAATATGTACTTGATCTATTAACTGGGGACTCTTTCAGAAGACAGGGATCTTATTCTCCTAATAGCTAAGTCCCTAATTATAAATCTGCGTACTTTGTGGCTGTTAAACGTGCCGATGGTTTGAGGATTATCTTTTCTGCCAACTCAGGTTAGTAAATACTTAATAAATTCTGAAATGGAATAGTGCTGCTTGATGGCAGGAATAGAAAAATACTTTCTCTTCTGGAGCCCTCTGTCTGATTTCAGAATGTTTTGAACAGAACTTGAAGAAACTGGGTTTTTTTCCCCAAAATCTGAATTCTGCAGATAGGATAATTCTGTTCCTCTTGAAATGAGCAATGAATTTTTTAATGGAAAAACTGCTTAATGTTGGTAAGCCCCAGCTGGTGATTAATAGCATACATACAGACCTAGGACATCCCAAACTTTGGCCTAATGAGAGACCTGGCCTGCCAAATCTTTTGCCAGTACACATCCCCTTGTAATTCACAGCCCACTTCTCTCCTCTCATATTAATCCCAGGATAACATTAAACTGCCAGTAAGTTATAGCCTTCAAATGTTGACATTCCTTGAAAAAATAACTGGGTGTAACATCAGTGATGAACTTACTGTAACTAACCAGATGTAACCAAGGTGTGTTTAAAGAGAGTGTTTTAAATCCCACCTCATGGTCATTTTCCTAGCACCTAATATAGGCAAGATAAAAAGAATTTTGATCCTTTCAGAGTACTGACACAAACAATTGTGCCTTCTACTTGCATCTGTAGTTAGGACTGTAGTTAGGACTGTACTTTTTAATAGATTTTAGTGTTACTGTAAGGCACTAAGCTAAGCTCTCTGCAAACCATAGTCTCCTTCCTCTTGTCCTTAGACTGTCAAACACAAGCAGCGGTTGACACAAACTGTTCTAGTGGTTTATCATTATATTTCAGGTTTCATCTGAAGACTCCACATTCAATCAATCAGCATGGAAGCTCAGACTCCCATTTAGTCCTTTGCTGAATTTCTAAAGTTGTTGTGAAGGTCATTGATGATGTAGCTCCTGCAGTATGTAGTGAAACTGGTAAGTTGGCAAATTAATTTTGCATCAGACTGTAAAGAACTGTCTGATGGTTATAACATTCAGCTACTACTGATCTGTACTAGATGTAAACCAGTGACCTAAAGGTGGAACATTTCTCCTAGGGCTAGTTTGTTTCTTGACTTAGTCCAAACTAATGACCTAAATGAAGGCTTTTGCTCTCTGTCCAGACTGTTCTCCCAGCAGGCTTACTGATAGGATAATCCAGTATCCGTGAAGTTAGTCAGTGACAGTTCTGGGGAACCTGCTTCTGTCCTCAGAATAAGTCTTGGAGGAGATGGGTCACTGATAAGGAAGTATCATGCTGTTTACACTCACATGCTTGTGCAACCAACATTGCAAAAGGTAACAAATAAAAGATAATGTAACATAGTTTTTAAAGTTTTACCTTTGGCCTTTGGGCTTTACAGATAAATATCTGATGGACCATCGGTGGACCGGGTAAGTCCATGTGTTACGTGCCTCTTGACTGTGTTTTCATTTTCCAGATACAATCTGTTGCCCTAAAATGCAAGTTCTAATATATACTGAAGACAACTATAAATGCTTGTGACTAAAAACAGTTAATAAAGTGGGTGTCCATATTACCCCAGATGTCCAAATTATTTGAAATATTAGTGCATACAAGAATGCTGGGATGCTAGAATGAAGGGGCACTTTCCTTCTAAATACCAGCAACTACTAGTAACTTTTTTTAAGACTAATTTTCGTTTGTGAATTTAATTCTGTGGAATGGTGCCAGATCCATTCTATCAATGTGATTGATGGTTTCCCATCAATTTCCGAGATGAACAGCGGGGCTGAAGGCTTTCCCACTTTTGACTTACAGCATACTTGCATGCAACTTTTATGGGACATGTTCATGGCTTAATGGGTTATTCCATTTCTCTTCTTGTCTGGTTTTTAGCTCCTTTTTAAAGATTAGCCAACATTCTGTGTAGTTCTACCATAGCCAAAT